GTCTTGAAGTCTAAACTAAAACACAAGAATTGAATAAATTTGGATTTAAACGTTCAGCTAGAAGGAAAAGATGTTTCTAAAGAAGAACATTCTACATACTTAAACTACTAGGAACGTCAAAAGTGACTGGTGCATTGATATCCTTTATTAGTTTGAGAACATTTCCTTCTGATCCCAGTTTGCATAGAGGTGCTTTTGTTTTTGCTTTTGTTTTTGTTTTTTTTTTTGTTGTTGTTGTTCTGTTTTTTATCATGGGTAGTGTTAATTTTGGAAGTACATTTTCAGTAGCTATTGAGAAAAAATGTATGATACTTCTTCCCTATTTTCTACAATATGGTTATTTACATTGATTGCTTTTCATATTCTATCCAATCTTGCATTCTTAGTGTGAAACTCACTAGCATGAGTTATTTCCCTTTTCATTAATTGGCATACAAAATATATATGTATACACACACACACACACACGTATATATTAGATAAAAGCAGATTTTGAGCTTGAATAAAAATAAATTGGCGTGGCTTCACTTCTAAAACTATATTGAGAATATATGTCTGTGTTTATCAAATATGTTGTTTGGCAATTGTCTTTCTCGTAAATTTGGGGAGTTTGCAGCCATGGTTCTGGTTACATCTGAAAATAGGTCTGGGTTTGTTTTCTCTTCTAGTATTTTCTGAAAGAGTTTAGACAGTATTATTGTTTCCTTCTTAAATATTTGATTGGGCTCATAAAGTCAGTAAGGTCTGGAGTTGTATTTTATGGAAGCTTTTTTTTTGGTTTAAATTTAATTGTATTGATATGAAGTTATTTAAATTCTCTAGTCTCCCTATGTCTGTTTTGATAAATTTTGTTTTTCAAGGTTTTTGCCCATTTTAACTCAGCTTCCAAATTTGCTGTCATAAATTAGTTCTAATTTTCCTTTTATTCATTTAATATCTGTAGAATCTCTTGTGATAGGTCTCCTTCCATTTTTAGTACTGGTAATTTGTATTTTTCAATCCTTTTTTCTTGATCTGTACTGAGAAGAGTTCATCAATTTTACTTCTATTTTCAAATAACTTGTTTTAGCTTCATTAGTTTTCTTTATAGTTTTGTTGCTTTCATTTATATCATGTTTGTCATTCTGACCTTATTTTTTTTTCCTTTTTTCTATTTACTTTTGGTTTAATTTGCTCTCCCTTTTATAGTTCTTTAACATGGAAGTTAATATAATTGATTTTACACTTTTAATTTTTATTTTTTTTCTAAGATGGGCATTTGAGGCTAGGACATCATTAAATAAATTCCCAAATTTACATACTTCCTTTATTTAATTTATATTACAATATTTTCTATTTTTCTTGTCACTGTAAATATAAATCATACTATATTCATAAGTCAGTTCCATAATTTCAACATATATTGAAATTGGTTTTATTTCCCAGTTTAATGCCATTGTGCTCAAAGACCATGCTTTGCATGGTTTTGATCCTTTGAAATTTATTGAGACTCATTCTATGACTCAATATAACATCTGTTTGGCAAATATTTCATGAGTACATCTAATGGGTTTGAAAACTACTATTGCAGACTATAATATTCTTTAAATATTAGTTAGGTGTTGTTGACAGTGCTATTAAAATCTTATTTATTCATATACTTTTTTCTTGTTTTTCTATTAGTTATTGTTAAATGATTGTTAAAATCTGCAACTATTAGCATGGATTTTCCTGTTACTCTTTTCAGTTCTATTAGTTTTGTTTTATATAACTTGAAACTATTTATTAAGTGCATATTCATTTATGATTGGTATATCTTCTTGATGTATTGTAATATAATGTCCCTTGCAAAGATGCCTCATGCTGGAATCTACCTTGTCTGATATGAAAATATTTATACTTACTATACTATGCTTAGTGTTTGCATATTATGTATGTTTTACATTTATGTTTTAATTTAAAAAGTATTGCTTGCAGACACATTGTGTGTGCTTTACTATGCAGAAAAACCACTTCTGTATTTGAATTATAGAATCTAGCAACTTATATTCCATATAAATAATATTATGGTAAGATTCAAGTCTAACATCAAAGCATTTGCTTTTTAGTTTCTCACCTTTTTAACTTTTTATTCCTCTTGAATTGTAATTATTTAATTTTCTTCTTTATTGGCATTCTAGATATACCTTTTCTGGTCATTATTAGCATTTGCTCTAGAGAATAAAATATGCATCTTTAGTTTATCATAGTCTTTTCACATATTATATTACACTGTAAGAACCTTCTAGCAAAGAGTAAATTTCCATTTATTCCTTGCATGAAATTTATGTTTTTGTTTTCCTGTCTTTTACATCTGTGTATGTTATAAATCCCATAAATTCATGGTAGTTTAAGTATTTATTTTTAATTTTTTTATTATTTTATACAAATAGTTGATAACATTTAAAATAATATTAATGTGTGTTTGAAAATAAATTAAATATGTATTTTTAATTTTAAAAATATTTATATTTAATCCTTCTAGTGCATTTCCTTTTCTTCTTGGGATCCCAGCTCATATAAGAAATTTGTGTTTACAATTTTACTTAATTCTATATTAAAGCATGTTTTCTAAATCTGCTAAATTAAAGTAGTAGTGTCAATACTCAAATCTTAAGTATCTGCTTTTCTATTACAAAAAAAAATGTTTAGTAAAAAAAAATCTTCATGGGGCGCCTGGGTGGCTCAGTCCGTTGAGCGTCCTGACTTCAGCTCACGTCATGATCTCACAGTTCGTGGGTGTGAGCCCCGCATCGGCCTCTGTGCTGGCCGCTTGCTCAGAGCCTGGAGCCTGCTTCAGATTCTGTCTCCTTCTCTCTCTGCTTCTTTCCCCCACTCATGCTTTGTCTCACTCTGTTTCTCAAAAATAAATAAATGTAATAAAAAATGTAAGAAAAATCTTCATAAAGTGAAAATGGGGAAACATCGCTACATTCTTGGAGACTCACCAAGGCTTAAGTGTCTGAGAAGTGTGGGAAGACACACACATGTCTATGAGTATGCCTTTTCTAGCAATTTTGTAACTTTAGCTTGTATTTTGTATCAGTTAGGGAGTTGAATTCCTGAGCATAATGCAACCATACGGAAAATGTACAGGTGGTGTCTGAGTATGGAGCTGAGTGGAAAGAATATTAAATCTATCTGATAAATAAAGGAAAAATCACTTAAATAAACCAGTTCTGTATTGAGAACATGGAAAACGAGCAGGTGGCTGAAGTTTGGTTCTTGATGCTGGTGCAGCAAACAGTCTAGTGTCTGGGACCCCCAACTAAGCTGTCTGTCTCTCATTGCTGTGTACAGCCTAGTCTAGACAAGGTAATAGAGTCTCCTGTCGAAATAGAATATGGAGAAAATCTGACGACACTGAAATTATGTTTAGCAGCTCTCAAACATGAAGGAAAGAAGAAGCTGACTCAGATGAGAAATTGTTCCAAATGAAAGCCATCATCTGCAGAGTCCCTAAATCCTACCACAAAGCGCTTCTAGGGTTAAGCCAATATGATCTGGGATCCTCACCTGTGAAAAACAGACACTCTTTGAAGTTGAGAGTAGAAAGACTTATGTATTAATTAGGAAAAGTGCTGGGTATTCTATATCACCTCTCCACCTTTCTCCACTCCACTGTAAGTATCAGGAGTCTGATCTTCTTGGTTTGTTTCAATTCAGCTATTTTGCCCCCTGACTGCTACTTGAGTAAAGTCTATGCTAGCAAGAGATCAGAATGAAAAGGTGAAGAAGTAGGGGTATTTATTTCCATACTGTCCTCCCCAGGGCCTCAGGCAGGTAGTGGTTTGGGGCCTTTACCTCAGGCCGCTCTCCTTTCTAAGAGTCTACCATTCAGTCTACAATTATGTCTTGTAACCATGCCCTCTCTTTGCTCTTGCAAAGAACTTTTAAACTTAAACTTGAACACTAAATAGCCTGTCATAAAATACACTCACATGGATGCCGAGGGAAATAAAGGAGTAATTGAGAATTTTAGTCAAAACATTAAAGGATTTTATTTTTATAAATTGTCTTTCATTTATATTTTTCTCTAATTATGTAAGATATTTTTAAAGTTATGAGTTTAAAAAGAAAAAAAAACAATTTTCAAGTATACGCCTATTAGGAGGTTAAGCATTACTTCTCATTTTACCATAAATATATTGTAATCATAAAAAAAAAGGAAATCACCTGAGGTCTTATATTTATAAAACTAACTGTAAGATATTTTTACTAAAACCTAGGGGTGCCTTTGTGGTTCAGTTAGTTAACCTTCAGATTCTTGTTTTCAGCTCAGGTCATGATCTCCTGATATATGAGATCAAGCCCCCCATCAGGTTCCATGCTGATAGCATGGAGCTTGCTTGAGATTCTCTCTCTCTTCCCCTCCCTCGCTCATGTGTGCACTTGCTCTCTCTCTCTCAAAAATAAATAAAATTAATTAATAAAATATATTTGTAATAAAATTTAGAAAAGGAACCCTATCATTAAAACCATCTCATAAGTATTGTGACCAAGTGATTGTGTCTAATCAGGAACTAAAGATGTGCACTTTTCAGTAGGAAAAAGAAAATTCTGCATTTTCTTCATTATCTTACAATAATGGGAGCAATTGGGGTAAGAAACACATTTCTAAAGATTATGTAACTTTTGCCCCAGATTTTAGGAGAACATCAACCAGGAAGAAGGAAGCACCTATAATATCCCTTTCATGAGAAGAAGGATTCTCTCTCAAGAAACTACCAAAGAAAAATTAAAAAAAAAAAAAAAAAAAAGACTCTATAAAAGACAATGAAGATCCATATAATAAAGAATGACAAGGGAGATAATAAGAAACCATTTTTAAAAATTAGAATATGTGCAGCGTGCCTGGGTGGTTCAGTCAGTTGAGCATCTGACTTTGTCTCAGGCCGTGATCTCTCAGTGTGTGTTCGAGCCCTACATGGGGCTCACTGCTGTCAGCACGGGACCTGTTTCAGATCCTCTGTCCCCTCTCTGCCCCTCCCTTACTTATGCTCTGTCTCTCAAAAACAAAATAAAACACGTTTTTAAAAATTGGAATACATGCTGTCATCTACATGCTGATTTGGTTATCAATTCACATACCGATTATAGATACTAATCAGTATCAAAATTTACTAAATAATTTTAAGAATAGGATGATCAATATTCTCTGACAAAGCAAAGGGAAGTCTGGAACATCCAGGGGCTCCCCAGGTTCTTCCTTCACCCATTAGATATGAATCTCTGGCCCAGAATAGGTGGGGCCTCTAATTGAGGTTTGTGGAGTTCATCACATATTGGGGAACATTTACATTATAAAGCATCTCAATTTTACACTGGGTAGAACTACATATCTCAAGTGAGATTTGCCAGGGAGCCATGCCTCATTGAGTCATAGGTCATGGGTCTTATTTACTTGATATCATTCTTAAGCCAGTGATATTTAATTAACAGCATTTTACAGATAGAGTATTTTTCTGTCAGCAAATATGTTTATGCTATTTATTTGGAAGTCCAATTGACAGAAAGATTAGGCCAGGTGCTATGCTTTCTTATTTTATTTCTCTGGTCATATTCCTCTGGTAGAAGGAATAGATGGATTCCTGTTCAGCTGTTTTACTCCCCCTTCCTAGAACATAAAAGAAAACATATTAAGAATTAAAAGATTATTCTTTGACTAGAAAAAAAGAATTAATTGCATAGGATGCCAACTTTATGTATCCAGTATTAGAGAATAGCATCTATCAGATATAACATTATAATAATATGTGATTTTTATTGCAGGTTTAGCAATAAACCTGTACACAAAGCTTGACACACTTCATCAGAATTATAAAACAATATTTAATTCTATAAATATTTAAAATAAAAATAATTAAAGTATTTAAAATATAAATATCAGGGTTCCAGATCCAGTTAAGATAAACACATACCTCCTTTTATCTCCCACTAAACTTTATTGAAAAAACCTGGAAGAACACAGGGACAGCTGAAAAATACAAATATGAAAAGTCAGATCAAGGGAAAGAATGAGAATTTGAAGTACCACCAAAACAGTTTTCAGTTTACCATTTGTATCCCTCTGGCATCCTCTGGCCTGAACTCAATACAACCCAAAACCCAAAAGTGGGCACTTTCTGGTGGATGAAGTGAGTCCAGCAGAAGCTCTCTAAGACCTGGCTTGAGGAGTAATCAAATGAACTCTATAAGAGCTCTCTTTCTAGCTCTTTATAACTGCCTTACTTTACCATATCATTATATTCACACTGGGAGACAAGACAGAGCTGCTTGAAAAACAACAGTTACAAAACCAACCAAACAAAAACAATAAAAAACAACTTGTAGAAGTCAATCCAACAGAAGAAATATGACTGTACGTGGATACAGACCACTTTAGGCAAATATCCAAATTACATATATTTTCTCTACTAAATACTGAACTGGAAAATCAAAACATAAATGCAATGTGGGGCTCTCACTGCAAGGCTCTGAAAAAGCAGATGTAGGCAATGAGAAGTTGTGTATGTATCTGGATAAACGTGTGTTTCTAGGTAGGTGTTTATATATTGGGGAAATGAGAAGAAAACAAAACATTTGTCATATTTGAACAACAAAACAACAACAGCAGATTTTTTCTCTGTAATGAAAATATACATAACACACGTTGATGATCACCATCATATTTTACCCTACGGTTCTAGAGAGAAGCTGAAATTAAAAATATGTGCTTTTAAATATTAGTGTACATTTTCCTTTCAACTTAGGATGCAGCAAGTTGGAAAGTCACAGCATGCTATGGACTGAATCATGACCTCCCCCACCATTAAATTCATAAACTGAAGCTGCAACCTCCAATAAGATGGTATTTGGAGATGGAGTCTTTGAAAGATAATTAAATTTAGTGGAGGTTGTGGGAGTGGGGACCTTGTGATGAGATTCGTGCCTTTATAAAAAGAGACATCAGTGGGGCGCCTGGGTGGCGCAGTCGGTTAAGCGTCCGACTTCAGCCAGGTCACGATCTCGCGGTCTGTGAGTTCGAGCCCCGCATCGGGCTCTGGGCTGATGGCTCAGAACCTGGAGCCTGTTTCCGATTCTGTGTCTCCCTCTCTCTCTGCCCCTCCCCCGTTCGTGCTCTGTCTCTCTCTCTGTCCCAAAAAATAAATAAACGTTGAAAAAAAATTTTTTTAAAAAAGAGACATCAGAGAGTTTTCCCTCTGTCCTGTCATGTGAGGACACACCAAGAAGGCAACCAGTTATGAGCTAGGAAGAGAGTTCTTATCAGAAACCCACCATGCTAGCACTTTAATCTTGGACTTCTATCCTCTAGAACTGTGAGAAAATAAATTTTTGTTGTTTAAGCCACCTAGTCTATGGCATTTCATAATGGCAATTCCAACTAAGACACAGCACAACCAATTAACCTGAAATTTAAGGAAAGAGAGACACTACCAAAGAGAGATGCAAATGTGAACTCTTGTTACCTAAGGCACACAGTGAGAGTGAGTGTCATACAAACTGGTAAGAATAATTCAGCTAAAATATTTAATGAATTGCTCAGAGCTGAGCATGGAATAACCTGAGAGAATAGAAATCTTGGACCATAATGAACAAGGGGAATCTACACACAATTAACTATAGGATCTTAATATTGGTTACAGGACAAAAGACTACTAGAGAAAGCCTCCCACACAATGCAGACTTAGGAGCATCAAGGAACAGTTGCTGTGGATGACTCAAAGTTCCAACTCCCTATTGTTTCTATAGAACAGAAGCCTTAAATGACTGGATCCAGCATGGTAAACCCTGCCATACTCAGGGACTAAGTGAAGCCCATCGCAACAAGAGGAAAAGAACAGAAAAGAAAAAAACTTCACCTTTTGGGGCCCCTACTGTCATATAATGCTGCCCCTGGCAGAGATGAGATCCCTGATTCCCCCTCATCACCAACACCAAAGGATGTACCACATGACCAACACTAAGTCTGAGCCAGCAAAATAAAATTCCAAATAACAAAAAACTGCAGTCAACAGTTAGGGAAGGGGCAGGAGCATGAAGAGAAAACATCTTTGAGGTGCAAGATTACAGGGAGCACTTAAAGCTGCTGTGGAAGAGAAACATTGAGAAAATGGGTCAAGGCAACCCAGCCTTCATCCAAAACACAAGGTAACATTAGAAGAACTTGAAAGATAGGATGACACATAACACCCACAAAATTGAAAACAAGCTCAAGTACTGACTAGATTGGCTCAACCCCTCACATGGAAGGCCAACCAAAAGAAAAAAAATCAATCACACAAGAAATTAAGACTAACTAAGCTTAACATGTTAAACGCTCTTAGATGATACACATGGACGCATCTGCATCCAAAATCCAGTGGAGTGGATTGAATGGAACAAAAGGTCTGTACTAATGTTGTGATGATGAAAATATTCTATAAATCTTCCATGTCCCATATGGTGGCCACTAGGCATTGTGGCTTATTGAAAACTTCGAATATGGCTAGTGCTATTGAGTAATTGAAATTCAAATTTTTGTAACTCAAATAGCCACATATGTCTAATAGCCACTATATTGGACAAGCCAAGATACCGTTTTCTTTTGAAAAATCACAGCTCCTTCCATTAAACATTGCCTAGGTAAAGGACCTATAGGAATGAATTGTGTCCAATTATATTGTTCTCAGAAGTTAAAAGAAAAACTGAAAATTCACCTTTATCACTGTAGGCTCCAAGATGTATGTATTGTTTTTACTTTTTACTGTGCAATAATTTTTCTATTCCACATGAAGTTAAATAGGAGTTTGCAGAATAGATTGTAGAACATTTGGAATATTCACTAGTTCTTTAAAATCAATAGAAACACAATTTGCTGCAAAACATGACTGTTTTACCATTTTTCCCCCATGGAATAAACACAACATAGATCACTGCCACAGCAATATATCTGCTTTACATTCTGAAGATTTCATCAGTTTTACTTCTCTGCTGTTTCATCCCTTCTTCCTTCCTTCCTTCCTTCCTTCCTTCCTTCCTTCCTTCCTTCCTT